ACTGCTGTGCCCCCAAGCACCGCCCTACCTGCTCCCAGCTGGGCCCAGGGGGATGAACAGCGGGCACAGGGACCCCTCTCACCTGCTCCTGGGATGCTACAGGGCTGGAAAACTGCTGGCTGAAGGCTGTGGGAAGTGGGGGTGCAGCCGGGATGGGGTGCAGGGGGCACCCCGAGGGTCACACTGCACCCCGGGCAGCTCCACACCTGGGAGTGGAGGAAGGTGGGGACCCCACAGGAGATGTTGTGACCTGGGGCTGTGCACACATGTGTGCAAACACATGCCTTGACACACGTGTGCCTGCCTGGACACATCTGTGCCCATGGCATGGGGGCAGTGGGGCTCCTTCAAGCCCTCCCCCAGGGTGGCAGGAGGCTCTGCTGGCCCCAGTGACAGGCAGTGCTGCCCATCCCTGTCCCCTTCACCACCCTGCCTGCTCGCTCAGCTCCTGCCTCTCCTCCCTGGAGCGCCCCCAAATCCCTCCCCAAAACAACCCCCCTGCCCAGAAAGGCCCAGAAAGGCCCAGGGTGGGCACTGGGTGTCCAGCAGCTGCCCACACCTCTGCAAAATAACCTGAACTCTGCCCCAATGGAGACTTTTGATCTTGGCTGAGCTTGTGAGTTTGGTGGTTTGGTGGATGACGGGTTCTGGAACCTCAGTGCCAAACCAGAACAGAGCAAGGGGGTGCTGGGGGATCCCGGGAACAGGAACAGCCTGGCATGGACACACACCTCCCTGAGCACAGAACACCCAGTGCTGCCTCCCTGTATCCCTCCCAGCTGCCCTTGGGGCCAGATATGGCCCCCAACCATCACCTGAGCTCTTCTCCTTATATAAAAAAAAATATAAAAGTCTATATAAAATATATAAATATATATTATATATATTGCATATAGGAAAAGTAAATATATATATGTAATTCTCCCTGCTAGAAAGCCCCAGCCCCTCCAGCAAGGGGAATTTTGACTCAAACATCACCATTTTAATGATACTACTGACAAAGCAGAGAGGGCAGGAGAGGTGAAGGAAGGAGGAGGAAACGCAGGAGTGCAGGGAAGACACTGTGATAATCTCTTGGGATTAAAGAACCAGCCTTGCACCCCCAGACCACCCAAAATCCTCCTCACTGACACAACTCGGGTGTGGGTGATGGTGAAAGAAGGGACTGAAAATGCCCCTTGGGCCTCAGTGCTGAAGGGCAGAGGGCTGGGGGGGCTTCACTGCACTTAGTACTGGGGTGGGAGGAGGGAGAACCACTTCTGCTGCTAATTTTAGTAATGCAACATCATTACCCTTTCTTAACGAGGCAGCAGCTCCCAATAACTGCTCCCTCCATCGGGAGACACGAAGCCAATGAACCAATGCTGCTGCTGCTCTGCCATTCAAAGACCTCAACAGGGTTTGCCATGCAAATTAAAGAGCCCTAAAAAAAATGCAGATAAAAGAACATTTCGAAGGCCTCGTTTGCCATCCTTAGGAGTGGCCCACTCTGCTCTCAGCCCGCGGTTATGTTGACACAAAAGGCTGCCGGGGCCGGCCAGGCTCATTAACAGCTAATGGTTCCGCTAGAATGTAAACACCCAAAGGTAACCATTTACTTTTCCAGAGCATAGGAACACGTGGGAGGGGTGCCGAGAACCAAATTAAACAAAGCCCCTGCTGCAAATAACCCTGTGCCCCAGTTGGCTTCGCCCCACGGGCCTGGGCAGAGAGTGACAGGGGATGGGGTCTGTTTGGGGGTGGCCCGATGTGTCCCCACAAGGTCACTTAATTTGGTGCCACCTGGTGGCAAATGGACTGGAGGGAGTGTCCCCACGTTTGGAGTGGCAGGTCTGGTCCCTGTGCTGGGAAAGGCCAGGGGAGGTTGGCAAAACCTCTCGGTGGGATGTGCATTGCTGTCCCTTTTCCCCAGGAAGCATTTGTCCAGTGGAGAGCCACGGGGATCCCTCAGGTCATGCCCAACCACCCACACCTTCCTGAGCTGCTCCTGCCCTTCCTCCAGCGAGGAAGAGCTGGGACAAGACAATGATGGCTTGACCTCCTTCCTGGGGCGGGGTGACCTGCCCAGCCCTGCCGGTTTTAGGGCCATTGTTCCCTTTTGCAGCAGCAAGTGGAAAATAAACAAGGATGAACTCACTTGATTGCAAATCCTGGCCAGCCCAGGACCCTGCAGCCCCCTCTGGGATCCCCAAGTGGACCAGCACCCAGTGGTCCCATATAGGGTGGTTGTATCCACCCATATGATGGTGAGGGGGATGGTGGTGAGAGGCCAGAGGGGACGGGATGGGAGGATTTGCCTCGGGCACGTGGCTTTGGTGTGGCAGCACAGCCATGGAGGGCCGTGGGTGGCACACAGCAGCAACTGTGTCCCTGCCAAATCCCCAGGGAATCTCCCCAGAGGCTGCCCTTCAGCCAGGGGTGCTCCCATTAATCCTCCTCCAGCACTGGAATCACTGCTGGTGTGTGTCAGGAATTAGGGGTGACTCAGCCGTTTCCAAAGCAAAGGAAGTCACTGACAAGAATCTTTTTTTGCAAGTGCCAAATGCTCATTTACCAAGGGCTGGAAATTACTAATTGTGTTGTGTTGCCTCCATCCCACCTTACAGCAAAGTGGGGTGTCCCCACCCTGCACCAACAACCTCTTCCCTGGCTTTGGGCTCTGTGGCAGGAAGGGGTCTGTGAGGGGTGATTTGGATGAAGAGGAGACCACAGTGACTGGATGATGGGTCTCAAAGCACCAGCAGCATGAGACCTCCTAGAAAAGGAAAGTGGTATTTTTTGTAGTTACCTTTCAAAATGAGAAGCTTAAATTCACTCACAGTCCTGGACCCACAGAGCATCTCCAGAGATGTGTCCCCAAGTGGCTGTGAGTGACAGTGTGATGGGGGACAGCACAGGGGACAGCAGCTGCCAAACTGCCACTCCACATCCTGGGCTTGTCCTGGTGTGCAATGACAAACTGGTTTTGGACTGGTTTCTGATCCCCCTCTGGAGCCAGCAGGGATTACAGGGGGATGTGTTGCCTCAGCAGTGTTTACTTCATCTTCCACCAGTCTTAGGCAAGGCTGCTGACTCCTGCCGGTGTTTCCTCATTTTGGGAGTCTCTCTGGCTCCAGTTTGTTTCCAGGGACGGGAAATGGCACAAGGGATGTGTTATTGAGGGCAGCTCAGGGTGGCATTGCTGCCGGGCCGTATCAGAGCACAGCTCATCCCGGCTCCATGCATCACCATCCTGCTGAGCCCTCGTGCCCTGGCTGCCCCTGCTTGGCTAATTTGGCAAAGTTTGTCCATGCTCAGTGTCTCCTGCTCGCTCTGCGAGCAGAGATCCATGCAGAGAGAGCACAGAGGGGTTGGATCCCGCTGGCCCTGCTCCAGGCACCTGGTGCAGCACCCACACGGTGCAGACATTCATGGCCAAGGGGTTGGCAGAGGGTCCCTGTCCCTCCTGGTCCCCAGGAGCCTGACCCTGTTTCAGGGCCTCTGCCTTGGTCCTGAAAGGCAAAATTCCTGGTCCAAAGCAAAGCTTGTGATGGAACTCAAGCTCTGCCTAAGCAGGGCACAGGGTTGAGATCCCATCTCTGGGTTTGAGGTTTAGGTGAGGGTTTCCAGAACATGAAATCCCAGAGTTACAGGAAGAGAAGGGCTTGAGAGCTTCCAGAGGGAGGGCTGCCAACAAAATCATCTGCTGAGCACCCTCAGGGTGTCTCTTGGCACAAGTCTCATCCTGGGGGTTGGTTTGGCAAGGTGGCTCTTATTGGGGACAGGGGGGTCCATCCCCACCAGAACTGTAAACTCCTCTGATCCCTCCTGGGCCCTGCTTTCCTGGGATGTACATGTGGATGGCTGATGTGCCATCACCAAGCACTCCAAGGTGGGGAATATAAACTGACCCTGGGGAATATAAACTGAGGCTGTCACCTCTCCCCAGTGTAGGTGAGTTGGCTCATGAGGGTCCTCACCCCCCCTCCTTGGTGAGAAGAGCTGGTACCTCCAGCTGGAGGATCATTTCTGCCTATAAAAGGTGTCTCTGGGCAGTGTCCTGGGGACAGCAC